CGACTCGCAGAGTGACGGAAAAGGGAAAATACCAGAGTGGTTCGAAAAATGTGGCCACTCGACTAGTGAAACCCTGGTCGTGGTGCCAGCGATCCGCATGTCCCTCACGGGAAATAGCGTCACTCCAATTACTTTTGGAGGGGATCCACTCAAAGTAAATCCAGCATCTAAGTGAAAACAAAAGAGTGTGAATCATGTGACTCATATGCTCGAGGTCAGGGCTGTCTGATCTGCCTTTGATGAGCGCCATCAAAGCAGCTGTATTGTCTATGTACCACGTGCCTCGGCGATTGCGAAATCGCTCAGGAGTAGTCGTCAAGGCCATAAGAACTTGCAAGAGCTCGAGCTGCGCTATCTTAGCATCCCCTGGAGTCCAAAGAGTATAGATTGACGATGGGAGATGGGACACAAACCCAAGCCGGATCTCTGCGTCCTCGTGGAAGAAGACAAGGAGAAAACCACCCGTGCCTTCACCTGGGGTCTCCAAGGCAGCGTCAGACGCCGCAACAAAGCGCTCATGGTGTCTCGGCCAAACATCAAGTTCACGCTCTGGATGGATAGAGATCACGGCTTCGAGAATCTGGAAACATTGCTCAATGGCGGGAGTCATCTGGTCGCCACGGACACAGTTTTATATATGAAAAAGCAGTGTCTGATGTATGATGTACACTACAGTTTCGCCACTGGAGGCAACCAAGGCTCGAGGCCGAGCGACAAAAGCGCCGGTTAGGTTTTGAGTAGGTTCCCTAGTTGTGGCACTTGAAGTGCCTGATTTCGACGTTGGTAGCGGAGCCACCTGCTTAAGTGCGAGTGGCATCCGGGGTAGGTTGTGTAGGTTCTAGGTAGAACTGAACCACTGAAAAGCAGTGTCATAGCTAGTGAGTCTAGTGCCATGGCCTCCTCCGAGGGATATGGAGGACAACGCAGGTTCAGTGGAGAATCTCTGGACCCGCAGGAATACAAGCGATGGCATCCACGAAGGACATGGCTTCGAACCAGAGAGGGCCGTATGTGTTTTGTGGATTTTCCCCCCAAAGCACGGGGGTGGGTGTGCCTGAATGCCTCAGGCCTCTCAGCAGACCAGCGGGCGATTGTGACTGCAAAGACGCAGGGCGACTTGAAGATGGAGAACATCACGCCTGCAATGAGAAGCTGTTTTCCGGATTTCAAGGCCGGCAAACGGCAAATCAAGAGTGTTTCTGCCTATGTGGTGCAACATGGTGAGACAGAGGATGAACCGGAGACGGGGCTAGCTTTCGAGGCAGACGGGCCCGACAGTGTTGTATTTGATGAGGTTGAAGCATTTTTGACAGAGCATGGATTTCAAGACACCACTTCATCGTCATCGCCCCCAGAAGTTTTCGATGAGGCTGAGGTCGCCGAGGTGTTGGCCGCCACATGGCCGGAGAAGAGGACAGAGATATCAAAGTTGCAGAAAGCAAGAAAGTTCAAGCAGGCTGCATCAATGAAGAAACAGTTCTCGAAAGACCTGACCGACATCCAGAAGCGCTCCAGATGCAGACGCTGTGGACAGATCGGGCATTGGGCCAGCAGCTGCCCGCAAAATTCTGGCACATCTGGTCAGAACGACAAGGAGAAAGTCAGTGGAGCTGCGATGGTGACAGAAGAGGTCTATTTGGTCTCATCACCAGGCTATGGGATCATGGATTCTGGCTGCAGCAGGACCCTCATTGGGCAACAGACGCTGGGTGACTTCATGCGCATGTACCAAGATCGAAAGATGTCAGTGCCTGAGAGTCGACCACAGCAGAATTTGTTCAGGTTCGGCAATGGCCAAGAAGAGCTGTCCGAACGAGTGATGTCCATGCCGGTGATCATCCGTGGCCAATCACAGTTCATGCAGGGGCCAACCAGAGCCCTGACTCGTCGTGAACATCGCTGCCTGATGGCTCACCATGAGACGTGGTCCAAGGAGAAGAAGAGCACATGTGCAGTGGCTGAGTTGTTTTCTCCTCCCCGCTTCAGTGAGTTGGCAGAGGCACGGGGAGAAAGGGGCCTGTCGTTTGACATCAAACAGGGTTGGGATTTGTTGGACACCAAGACACAAAAGCAAGTAGATGAGCAGTTAGAGGAGGCCTCACCTGAGCTGTTGGTGTGTTGTCCAGAATGCAAACATTGGGGCGGCTGGTATCGTTTGAACAAGCACAAGCTATCATTGACCGAACGGCTGCACAACCAACAAATAGCTCAGAAACAGGCTGATTTTTGTGTTGCACAGATCAAACGCCAATTGAAACGAGGTGGTAGGGTGCTGGTGGAACATCCTTGGTCAAGTGATCTTTGGAGATATCCTCCGATGCGCAAGTTGGTGCAGGCCGGACTGTTGACAGTGCGCAAGGCAAACATGTGCGCCCATGGCTTGGTTGACCCAGAGAACCATCTGCCAGCGCTGAAGCCGACTGGTTTGGCCGTGTCTCATTCCGACATGGCCTCGCTCGCAATGGAATGTCCAGGACACACAGAACACCAAAGCATTGTAGGTCACAATAGTTCAGGTCAGTGTAGGAGTACCATTGCAGCCGAATACACGAAGCCGTTTGCGCGAGTGGTATTCATGCATTAGACCCCAAGAGCAATTGTGTGCGTTCGCTGTCGTGCAGGACCTGCCGAGTGACTCGTTGGGCTGTGAAACACAAATTCAAAAAGTCCTCGCTGCCGAGGTTCAAGATCCCCAGAAAGTGAATGTTTTGTTGAAGAAGTTGCACAAAACCTGGGTCATCCATCGACCCGGACACTTGTCAGGATTCTGAAACATGCAGGTGGGTCTGAACAGGCACTCAAAGAGGCGGAGAACGTAGAAGGGCAGTGCGACATTTGCCAGCAACGACAAAGACCAACCCCAGCATTACCGACGAGTCCAGAGAAACCAATAGACTTCAATCATAGAGTACTGAGTAGGTTGGGATGTCAAGAAACTGCCGGGATGGCAAGTCAACCAGAAAGTGAACCTAATTGATTTTGCGACCAGTTTCCAGGTGATTGTTCCATTTTTCGAGAAAGAGACAAGTGAAGTCTTGAGAAAAACATTCCAGGAGGCTTGGCAGCGGTGGGCAGGCCCACCAGTCGAGGTCATCACCTCGCACGAATCAAGCGGAATCCGTGCTTCAGCAACTCGAACGTGATGGCATTCGTATCATTTCCAGTGCAGCAGAAGCACATTCGCAGTTAGGCAAGGTAGAGAAACATGGGCATTTGTTCGAAGTCATCCTCCTGAAAGTTTTAGACCAGGCGCAACCAAAGGATCGACAGGAGTACGAACAATGCATCGTACAAACAATGAATGCCAAGAACGAATTGCTGAATCAACACGGTCTTTCGGGTTCCTGGAGACCTGTTGCAAGAGTGGCCATGTCCAGTGTCTGGTACTGCTGCCTTGACCGATGATGTGGTAGCTAGATCCCAAATGATCCGAAAACAAGCCAGAACTGCCCTCATTATGTCCCAGGATGGTAAGACTCTCAGAACAGCTCTCAATGCAAGACCCAGGGTCGAGAGAGATTTCATTCCAGGTGACTATGTTGCATATTGGAGAACACAGAAATATGAGAAGGGCATTCGCTTGGTAGGAGGTAGGTGGTTTGGGGTTGCCATCGTGATGGGGAAGGTAGGCAGAAACTATCTTGTTTATCATCATAAGAACATGTTTAAGGTGGCACCAGAACACTTGCGTCATGTCACAGCAGAAGAACGTGTTCTGGCACAGACTGATGGTTGAGAACTGCTCGGGTTGAACTCTCTACTCGACGACAAGGACAGATTAGGAGCACAGTTCATTGATCTAACAGGCACCCCTACTCCGTTGCAGTTGGCAGTGGATCAACAAGAAACGGAAGATGTTTGGATGCGACAGGGAGACTTGTTGAAACGAGTTCATCGAAAACCAAGGACGAATCAGTTCATGCCAGATCCCAATGATCCAATTTTGGTAGGACTGTCACTGGAAAACTGGAGAAGAATCATTAGATCCGACAGGAAAGAAACAGTCGTACACCAGTGTGGTCAGATCCGTCATGTCAAACGAGGATATGCGGAGAAGAAGCATGGAAGGGAGAGTCCCAGTTTCGCACTCGACCCAGAAGGGAGCAGCCGACCGTATGAGTTCTGGTCAGAGCACAGGAACTGTCCCAGAGTCAGCACAGAGGGAGAGAGAGAGAGGGAGAGAGAGAGAGAAAGAGAGTAGCCAG